TCTGGCACACCTTCCAGGAACTGTGGCCACTAAGGCCTCGCCTAGTAGTACCACCGCACGTGTATGTTTAGGCTTATGATTGGTGAACACAAGTGTTCTTACGCCATACTGGTGGGGCTTCGCCCGCGTGCCCCACTGTGTATATGTTGCCAGAGCCACGCGGAAACCTCCGAAGGTTTGAGGTCACGTGTTATTTTTACTTGGAAGATGAGTTAAAGTTGTATGCCTCTCCCTGTCCCACTCCACCCTAGCCCCGTCCCCACGCCGGCCCTCACTTACACGTCATCACTAAGGCTCCGCGACGGTAATAGCTTGATTAAAATTGGCGCACGAGAGGTGCAGTTAAAGTGAGCATACCTGTGCACACCATTTGGGCACACCTCTCCTAACTTGGGCACACCTGCTTGTGGCTTAGGCACACCTGCCTCTGGCCTCTGGCTTGGGCACACCTGCCTCTGGCCTCTGGTACACCTGCTTCTGGCTTGGGCACACCTACTCCTCACTTGGGCACACCGCATGGCGTGGGAGTGGGGGTTAAAGAGGTGTCCACAGACCTGGTGAGAGGACAGGTGTCCACACAGAAGGGAGGCCAGGTGGACGGGTGACCAGCTTGTGATGAGGACAGCTCAGGGTCCAAGGAAGTTATTGCGAGAGTTAGGAAGTCCATCTCTTGGTAGGCTGAACCCCAAACGTGTCTTGTCACCTCCGGTGCTCCAGTGGTAGTCACTTCAGGTTTTGTAAGATGTTCCAAGGTAAGAAAGCGTAAACAGAGTTGGTATAGCGAGGTGTTGGTCGTAGGTGTGAGGGGAGGAGGTAGCGTATGTAATCTGTGGAGTAGGTAGGAGGGTGTGGCTTCTTTATTGGTGATGTTTACAGTGCGTGACTGTCCACCCCTTCCTCAGCCTTAGCTGCCGCCCCTCTACCACTGTGGCTAACTGTGCCCCATTTATCCTATCACTTCCCCCAGTCCCCTCACTCTTACTACACAGTTGCCAGGGTAGTGCTTACCTCACACTGGCTGTGCTCCACCTCTCTCTGCCCTGTGTACTACCTTTCTTGTACTTACTGCATTTTATTCAAACTTTAGTTTCGGTGGTTGTTTTTTTTAGCTACTCGGAACGAAATGTCCATGTAGCACGGGCTATGGTGAGCCCGTAAGTAGTTTCGGTTGAATTTTTGTGTTAAATACTGGTGGGGAGGTGCGGAGAAATTTGGCGCGCGCGCTTTCTTCTTGAGGGTGGAGTTGTGTTGAGAGACATGTCTTCCTGTTTTACATTGTTATGTGCGCGTGTGTCAGCGTGTGTAATTGTTCCTGCCATGTTGACACTCGTCATGCTCTCTTTAATATACATAACGGAATTGTATAAGCATATGTGTGTTGGAGAGAGAGTTGGATATAAATACTTGGAAGAGTTCAATTGAGGAATGTCAAAGAGCATAAGAAATATTCAGAAAATACTCAACTATGGGCAGTAGGAATTGTTGTAAAGATTCATCATTTAGTGTGTTGGAGAACACACAGGTACGCGGACTTCTTTTAGTCATTCGGAGATGTATTGGCCCCGTATTTTGACTCTTATTGTTTTCCTGAGGGTGTGCCAGGCGATGTGCTTCTCTCCTCACCGTTAATATACGTTTCCTAACTGGTACTTGAAGCTAATTGGCTTGTATTTGATGACATTTCAGTGCTAGAAGACCTTGTGAAGTATAGACTGTGTGTGTGTGTACTCACCTAGTTGTGTTTGCGGGGGTTGAGCTCTGGCTCTTTGGTCCCGCCTCTCAACTGTCAATCAACAGGTGTACAGATTCCTGAGCCTACTGGGCTCTAGCATATCTACACTTGAAACTGTGTATGGAGTCAGCCTCCACCACATCACTTCCTAATGAATTCCATAAGTGTGTGTGTGTGTGTGTGTGTGTGTGTGTGTGTGTGTGTGTGTGTGTGTGTGTGTGTGTGTGTGTGTGTGTAGATACAGGAGGAAGAGTTGAGTGAAGAGGTGTTGGTAGAGGTGAACCGGTTGGCTGGTGTTTACAGGCGAGGGGAAGTGACGTAATGTTTGTTTACAATATATGGTAGTGATGGAGGAGAGTGCAGAGTCGCAACGCCCGCCATCTTCCTCAGGTTTTAAACATTAGGTCAACACAGGCTCTCCGGGTCAACAATGGCACATGGTGGTGGTCAACACAGGCTTTCACCAGCAACCTCTTCTTGGGACACCGCCTTACTGTGTGTGTGTGTGTGTGTACTCACCTAGTTGTGCTTGCGGGGGTTGAGCTCTGGCTCTTTGGTCCCTCTTATTGGATCACAGAGCTCTGTTCCCTCCGATTTTCCTTTTGTGGAGTCGCGTCGAAATTGTAAAGTTTATCTGAAGGTTAGAAAGGGATTCCCTCAGCGCTAACTAAGATTTTCATGAGAGTAGACAATATAGAAGACACAGCGAATCTCTGTAATGTTAATCAGGTATTTTAGAAAATAAGATGATTAATTTGGATAAGTTCCAGCAATGGAAAACGGAAAATATCATAACGAAAACCACAGATAAAATGCAGCCAAATAACACTTACAAATTTATACAAAAGATTTAGGAATAGTAATAATAATGTGGGAAGAGCTTACCTTATTAACGAACACAATAAGCAGCTGTCGCAACTGCAAGGAAAATGACAGGTTAAATAATAAGAACTTGTCAAAGAAAAGAAATATGCCAGGTCATTGACGAGCACTCGAAGGCCTTATTGATATCAGCTTGTCGTTTTCAATGTCTCTACAGACGCAATTTTCATGCTGATTTTTGTATCGTCTGCAAAGGATGGCATGAAGTTGACTTATAATTTATGAGACAAAACAATGGTGTAAGGAGCTTGTCTAGAGACGGAGCTTCTCACTGTGCTTGGACTTGATTTTATTTGGGTGACTTACTCAAATAAGTTTAAAGTTTCTCAAAAACTTGAGAATCCAACGCCCTACCTTACAGAGGACTATGTCCTCACTTAGTGGTCTGCGTCCTAGACTCCCAACCCAGGTTCAATCCCACGGTAGGACAAAAGCGGTTAAGCACGTTTTCTTTCACCTGATGCCTCTTCGTCTAGCGGCGCAACTGGTACCCGGGAATTAGGCAGCTGTTGTGGGTTGCATTCGAGAAAAGGTCACTTGTTGGCCAAGGGAGACCTTGGTAAACCCAAGTACAGACTTCGTGTGTCTAACAACGGCAATTATAAACGTTGTCCTCGGTCCCCCTGAGGTATCTGGCTTGTAACCCACAAGCCAGATAAAACTGGTACTGTGGATCACCCCTGCGGTTGTACAGGTGTGCGCGCACACACCTGCTACAGCTTAATTTTCACAAGTGTTCTCACACGTCACCAACACCACACTTACTTCCTCAAATGACACTACCGACCTACATGTTCGCTACCTCTTGTTAGTTTTGGAGATCAACTTGCCTGCAGCCCGTTTTCTGACCAGGCCTCCTGGTTGGTGGCCTGGTCAACCAGGCTGTAGGATGCAGCTGCTCGCAGCCAGACGTATGAATCCTATCATGTTGATTGTATCTTTTGCAGGCGTTTCTCAAGTTTTGTCTCCAACTCCGTGAGAGGCCGGCTAGTTGTCCCTTATGTGTAGGAGTGTATTAGTCATGGGCCCTTGATGTTGATAGTTCTCTCTATCTGTTGCTCCTCTGCTTTTCAACGGGGCAGATTTGCACATCCTGAAATTTCTACTGGTCGTGTGATGTTATTTCCCTCTGTAAATTTGGAACCAGTCTATTAATTTCAAAGTGTAAATTGTGTATCTCGCCTGCGCTCTGGGGAATAAAGAATTCACAATTGTCAGAAGTCCCAATAATTTAGAAGTTTTATTGAGTGAATTCTGGCAGTAAAATTTCTCCAGCCTTAAATGGGGCAGTTATTGTACACCAATATTTCGCCCTAACGAGCTACATAGTCTTTCCGTCTTGGTGCCTTCTTTTGATAACTGCATATTTACTCCAGCCTGAGGAGAACGACTATCTAAACAGTCCCATCATTGGTCAGGCATCTCGTGTGAAAGGTTCCTCTTATCCAACCTCTCATTTTTCCCGTGGCTGTGACTGCTACCTTGTTGTGGGGCTCTTAAAGTTTATATTGCTTTTTCGTTTTTTTAGCATGATTTGACTTGCGTTTTATGAGGTTTCCGTTTTGATGAGAGGTTGGTGTGTGGTTGGGGGTTGAGGGCCGGCGTGTGTGTGGGTGGGGGCGGCGGGGCTGGCGTGTTTGGGGTGGGGTGTGGGGGTGCACTTGCGTGCTGTGTGAGTGTGAATCAGGGGCAAGGTGTGGGAGGCACGCGGTGATGCGTGGTGGACGAGATAGTATTGGAGGGGATGGTTGTGGGTGGCACGTCGCCAGATGTTGGGGTAGTGCCGTAGTGGTGGAGGGGAGCCGAGTATAGCATGTTTTTCAGGTGATGTCGGGCAGGGGCATGAGGGGGTACAAGAGGCAGCGGTCCCCTCGCTCCTGCACCAGTTCCCCTCCCAGCCCTCCAGCCGACGCTACCGTGCTTGCCCGCCCGCCCGTACACCCTCCTACCCACCCACCCGGCCGTCCGTCCGTCCGTTCGTCCAATCCCGCCCGCAACTTACACCCTCCGCCCGACCCTCACATCTGGTCGACCAAGCTCTCCGCCCATCCTGGTACTCCGCATTGTTTCGTTTGGAAAGTTGTAGTGTTATGTGCACCATGTGAGGTGTAGTGCGGGTGTTGTTGACCGGCCGCTGTGACACTACATCTGTACACTCGCCACCTTCAGGTGAAGGTGTAGTCACGCACACGGAGAGGCGTTATCGGTCACACGAGTGTAGCGGCCTTGCCCCTGTGTAGCCAGCGTTAGTGCGTGTTGAAGAAGTGTAGGGGAGTGAGGGAGGTGTGTGTGGGTGGTGAGGTAGTATATGAGCGAACAGTGTGTGAAGAGCAGTGTGGGGGTGGAGGGGGGTGGTGGTGGTGGTGGTCCAGGCTGGTGCATCACCAAGAGTGTCACCACCATGTACGGCAGCTACACCACCGGTGGCGCCGCCTCCACCCACCTGTATGGCACCCAGTACCCCGGGGGCCCACCTTCACTCCCCTCCCCCGCCGCTGAACCCCTGGTGTTCACAGTGCCGCCGCCCCCCCCAGCCTACCAGCCTCCCCACGACACCTGTGTCTCCTGCAGCACCTGTGGGCGGAGCACTACGCCCGCCCACCAGTTCCAGTACTCGTCGCCCACCCTCACCACCTCAACCTCCAGCCAGTCCGAGGAGGACCGCACTCTGGCGCTACAACTGAGGGCAGCGGCCATCTTCAACAAGACGGACATTACTCTGCCTTGTGGATCTCTCTCACTGCCGCCCCCCGCTCTTACCTACCCTCCTCCTTCCACCCCTATCACTACCACCACCACCTTCCCTTATCCCCCACCCTCCCACCACTACGACACTAGCACGGCATGCATCACCCCCTACTGCACGTGTGACGCCTCCCCCAACAGTAATTGCTCAAGTTCCTCCTCGCCGCTCTCCTGTCCCAACCTCTCCCTCGTCGCCGCTCCCCCCTCCTGCATAACCTCGGGCATGGTGACCCCCTCCAACACCGCTTACCTTGACTCTCCGTCTCCCTCAGGTCAGTCTTGGCCAGGACCATCAAAGTACTCGACCCCCCCTCCCCCTCCCCTCCCCTGCCCCACCCCTCTATGTATTAAGGTCAAGTGTTACTGTGTTAATAATGTGTTGCAACAGCCTGGTTATGACCCGGGGCTGGCCTCGCTCACCCACCCACTCACTCCCCACATGTTTAAAACATTCTCGTCACAAGTCTCCAGGAGTGTGGAGACCTCAGACTATTTCCCCCCCGCATGGTCTCCTATAGAGGAGGTCAGAACTCCTCTAGGGTAGAGGAGTTCAGCCTCCTCTTGCCTCCGTCACGCCCCGCAGACTAAGGGCCCCGACACACTAACAGCTGGGAAGCTGACCTCTGTACTCCTGCGGGCATGGTAGTGACGTATTCCCCCCTTCCCTCTCCCTCCCCAACTCTCACAACATGCTCTCTCCACCTTCCCCTTCTCTCCCTGACACTAAGGTAGCCTCTCCTCCCCTAACATTCCTCTTTCTTTCAGATAACGCCGTAATCATCAGCTTCTACTTTTCAGGTACAAGTTTAGTGTGTGTGTGTTGGAGTGGCGAGCAGGGAGGGTTGGCCAGATTTCCCTGGCCCGTGATTACTGATATTGTGACTGGGGGAGAGAGTAGCTGCGGGCTTGCATCCTCTCTGACACCCCTCTCATGTACGTTTAAGGAAATGTATCCTTGTGAGGCGTGTCTGACCTAAGACTATTGTGAGGTGTCCTTTATGAACCGCTCCAAAATGTTCCGCGTGCCACTAGCGGAACATGCATCCCAGTGATGCATGTCTCTAGAAGAGGTGCTCCCCTTCAGGTACCCAGCTAGAAGAGGTGTTTGCCCTTGTGAGGCGTCGAAGAAGGGAGGTGCATGACCCGTGCCAACCCTTGTGTGAGGTTCTTGAACCAGTTGCTGAAATTTTAATTTTCAGGTAGATGTGCGAGGCCAGCAAGCAGTTGTTTCCTCAGTCCATCCCTCTCCAGCGTACCACTGTGGTGTACTCACTATCAGTGGGAGGTCCCCCCCCCCTTACCCTTCTCACTTAACTGATCTAACTAGTGTCTGCTCACCATCATTCTTACTTACCATTCTTATGTATTTAAATATGACATGGCTCTGGAAAATTGTGTATATGTCGGTGGATTACTGTTAACTGAGAATATTTATTATTTCTGTGTAATCTTGAATTATGTCTTGATCTTGAGTATTCCGTGTCTTTACTTCATGTAGGGAGAGTAGGGTAGACTTGTCAAAATGTTCACCTTCAGAGGTGTAGGTGTGTGAGCGTGCTTGGGGGGAAGAGCTATGAAGTGGTGGGACGTGTCTAGAGTCCTGGTCTTGGCTAGGGGTGAGCATTTTGGATTAGTGAGGAGGTGCTGTGGTTTGTGTTGCGGAGTTTGTGTTTTAAATTGGCTGTTGCCGTTTAAAGCTGTTATGTTATTGTGCACTTGATACTCGTCTTGTGAGCGTCTGTCATTATCTTCCGCTTTCTTCTGTCTTCACGTTTGCAGAGTTGGGCCAATGGGTTCAGAGGCTGTAGGGGGAGGGGCACTATCTAGGAGCGGAGGTAAGTTCTCTTAGGCTAGACGCACATACTGAAGAAGCTTGTTGGGTTTCATTGGTTTCTTGATCAGACATCTTGAAGTGAACTCTGGCGTGTGGCTCCCATAGGGTTAATCAGGGACTATGTCATGAAACATCTTAAGATCTCACCAGCACTGTCTAAACCGACGGCTCATTCCAATGGTCAATAGGACGGTCTACAGGAACTTGTAGGTTTTATAGACACAATATTTGCACACTATCAGTGTCGGGTTAAACAACTGGCCGACCTCCACAGACCTGGCTGCACTACAACTTGCTACCAGTACGTTAAGAAACACAGGAGGAATAATATTTTGTGATTCAAAGTCTGTTCTTCAAACATTTGAAAACTTCTGCAAGATTGAAAGGAAAAACCTCATAAAAGCCATTATAAATGCTCTCTGCACTGCACATTAAGGGTTTAGACTATCTTTGTTATGGATCTCGCATAACTGTAACCCAACATAATGACACATTGCAGCCAAATTAGTGTGCAACAAGGATGAAGTTTAATTAGACCTAGGTATCCCCATATCTTATCAAGACTATAGTGTTCCAAACACTCAGGTCCAATAGGAGAGAAGTTACTGAATCCCAAAGACACTGAAACCACCAGTATAAAAATCTATGATTTGTTCAGATCCGAAAGCTATGTATATGGGCAGAAGAAAACGTCCACCAGACTGTGTGACAGTGGTTGCCAGGATCAGGTTAGGTTACAGTTACCTGTGGCAGGTGCCTACAGGTGACGAATCTCCCAATCCTGAACATTGGGGGTGCAAACTCTGAACAGGAACTGGGTCACGATCTCGTACACTATATTACTGAATGCCTAGTTATTAAACAATTGAGACCCGTCTGTATGAGGTGCCTGGAGCTTTGCAATCACTTACTTGTGATTGCAATCTTGTGTTCTTGAGGATCTCACAAACACAATCTTGTGTTCTTGAGGATAGTAAAGAACACAAGCCCATCAGTATTCCAGCCCATCTTCCTAAAACGATAATACTTTTAGCAATACTGGCAATAATTCGTTTTGTATTATTGTATTAGTCACATGACATTCTAGAAAACGTAACTAAAAAAATCCTAATCTAACCAGTCCCAGTAATCCTAGGCTTAATATACGGCTATCTTAAGCCTAATTAGTACATATTTTCTATACTAGGCCTAAGAATATTAAAGCTTGGATTTTAGTTTATCGGTTCTATAAAATTAATGATATAAAATCAACTTTCTTGGTGTTGGAAGAGAGCACGTTGGTACATTTGACCAAATAGGTTGTAGTAGTAGGCATCCATCAGTCGCAGGAGACTATGGAGATTATATATATATATATATATATATATATATATGCAACAATGATCACAAAAACACTGATCCAAGTATGCAGAATAACCACATATGAAAAATAGAAAATGCTTAACGCGTTTTCGGCTAATTCGCCTTCATCAGAGCAAAGTAGAATCAATTCTACTTTGCTCTGATGAAGGCGAATTAGCCGAAAACGCGTTAAGCATTTTCTATTTTTCATATGTGGTTATTCTGCATATATATATATATATATATATATATATATATATATATATATATATATATATATATATATATATATATATATATATATATATATATATATATATATATATATCTAACATAATACTATTATATATTATGTTATTAATAGTTAGTTGTATAATACTAACAATTTAGAGGATGGGCTGCGGTACTCCTGTTGATCTCTCCATTAACACACACTAACCCTTGGAACCAACCCTCCACAAGTGATTTTTAATACATTAGGTACATCTGCATTAGTGGAGCTACCCTAGACTATATGAAGTGGAGTACAGTTCATATAGTCTAGGGTAGCTGCACTAATGCAGATGTACCTAATGTGTGCAGAATATTTCTGAGTAAAACTAGACTTCACAGTACTACTAAGTTTGGAATATTTAATAAAAATATACAGGTATTTCTAACAATTGTTATATTGCTGAGGTAAACGTCTCTTACGTATAAGTCATAAATGGTGTTCGTGTCTTGTCTCGGTTTATTATAGTTGGTGATAGAGAGGTATGGGATTTGCTTCGTTTTCTTCTGTTGATATGCATCAGAGAAAATGGCTTACTCAATATGTATAATGAGTTTAGTGGTAAACTTTAATAAACTATTATGTAGCACTACTCGAAGACCTTGTAATTATCGGGATAATGTAAACTTGTGTGTGCATTTTATATACATATTTAGTATATATAATGTGTAAATCGCGTCGGAATTGACATTAGCTGAATGTGGAAATATTTAACCACGAAGGAAGAATGAAACGAGAAATGTCTCGAGCGCTTCTGTGTTAATCGTACTTCTGAAAATGTTAATTAACACGAAAGCTCTCCTTATATATAATTACTTTTTGTTGGGAGTACCACCACTGGCTGGAAGAAGGGGACCCATAGCCTCGGAGGAAACCACACATAACGCATTAAGAGGGAATGTTTAGGTCCCCTCTAATATAGTGTGTGAGATTTAGTCCTACCACCTCCAACCTTTTGTGCTTTATTACATATTTAAAGGTTACATATTATGTATTGTGTCCTCGCCTAGATGAGCTTCGGCTCTTTGGTCCCGCCTCTTAACCGTCAATCAACTGGTGACAGTGTGTGTGTGTGTGTGTGTGTGTGTGTTTTCCTTCATGAAAGGTTAATTGATTGTGAGCAGAGTTGTGGAGGCACAGCCCACCCTTGTGACATACTACTCCGTAAATAACGCAACGGTATTTCCTAACTAGTAACGCACAGAGCCAAACAACCTTCCCTATCTATCGAGGCCGATTAATAGACATGTCAATATTATGGTGCTTTATTTTATAATACATCATGTTTCTGAAGAATTGGGCAACTTTGTAAACAATGCTTCTTATTGGGGAGGTTGGCTGTTAGTGGATGATATTGTGGGCAGAGTTGTGGTGCTGCCCAGGTTATGGATAGTTGCTCTCAGGTGGTGTGGTTATGGATAGTTGCTCTCAGGTGGTGTGGTTATGGATAGTTGCTCTCAGGTGGTGTGGTTATGGATAGTTGCTCTCAGGTGGTGTGGTTATGGATAGTTGCTCCCAGGTGGTGTGGTTATGGATAGTTGCTCTCAGGTGGTGTGGTTATGGATAGTTGCTCTCAGGTGGTGTGGTTATGGATAGTTGCTCTCAGGTGGTGTGGTTATGGATAGTTGCTCTCAGGTGGTGTGGTTATGGATAGTTGCTCTCAGGTGGTGTGGTTATGGATAGTTGCTCCCAGGTGGTGTGGTTATGGATAGTTGCTCTCAGGTGGTGTGGTTATGGATAGTTGCTCCCAGGTGGTGTGGTTATGGATAGGGATGTAGTGGTGGTTGGTGTGGCGTGACGGGGCGTGAGAGGTGACCCTGCATGAA